CTGTGTCTTTTGGTGGGAGCATTTAGACCATTTACATTTAAGGTAATTACTGATATGTATGTTCCTATTACCATTTTCTTAATTGTTTTGGGTCTGTTATTGTAGGTCTTTTCCTTCTCTTGTGTTTCTTGCCTAGAGAAGATCCTTTAGCATTTGTTGTAAAGCTGGTTTGGTGGTGCTGAACTCTCTCAGCTTTTGCTTGTCTGTAAAGGTTTTAATTTCTCCATCAAATCTGAATGGGATCCTTGCTGGGTAGAGTAATCTTGGTTGCAGGCTTTTCTCCTTCATCACTTTAAATATGTCCTGCCAGTCCCTTCTGGCTTGCAGAGTTTCTGCTGAAAGATCAGCTGTTAACCTTATGGGGATTCCCTTGTGTGTTATTTGTTGTTTTTCCTTTGCTGCTTTTAATATGCTTTCTTTGTATTTAATTTTTGACAGTTTGATTAATATGTGTCTTGGTGTATTTCTCCTTGGATTTATCCTGTATGGGATTTATCCTGTATGTGCTTCCTGGACTTGATTAACTATTTCCTTTCCCATATTAGGGAAGTTTTCAACTATAATCTCTTCAAATATTTTCTCAGTCCCTTTCTTTTTCTCTTCTTCTTCTGGAACCCCTATAATTCGAATGTTGGTGCATTTAATATTGTCCCAGAGGTCTCTGAGACTGTCCTCAGTTCTTTTCATTATTTTTTCTTTATTCTGCTCTGTAGTAGTCATTTCCACTCTTTTATCTTCCAGGTCACTTATCCGTTCTTCTGCCTCAGTTATTCTGCTATTGATCCCATCTAGCGTCTTTTAAATTTCATTTATTGTGTTGTTCATCGTTGGTTGTTTCATCTTTAGTTCTTCTAGGTCCTTGTTAAATGTTTCTTGCATTTTGTCTATTCTATTTCCAAGACTTTGGATCATCTTTACTATCATTATTCTGAATCCTTTTTCAGGTAGACTGCCTATTTCCTCTTCATTTGTTAGGTCTGGTGGGGTTTTATCTTGCTCCTTCATCTGCTGTGTGTTTTTTCTGTCTTCTCATTTTGCTTATCTTACTGTGTTTGGGGTCTCCTTTTTGCATGCTGCAGGTTCATAGTTCCCGTTGTTTTTGGTGTCTGTCCCCAGTAACTAAGGTTGGTTCAGTGGATTGTGTAGGCTTCCTGGTGGAGGGGACTAGTGCCTGTGTTCTGGTGGATGAGGCTGATCTTGTCCTTCTGGTGGGCAGGTCCACGTCTGGTGGTGTGTTTTGGGGTCTTGTGGACTTATGATTTTAGGCAGCCTCTCTGCTAATGGATGGGGTTGTGTTCCTGTTTTGCTAGTTGTTTGGCATAGGATGTCCAGCACTGTAGCTTGCTCGTCGTTCAGTGAAGCTGGGTGCTGGTGTTGAGATGGAGATCTCTGGGAGATTTTCGCCGTTTGATATTGTGTGGAGCTGGGAGGTCTCTTGTGGGCCAGTGTCCTCAAGTTGGCTCTCCCACCTCAGAGGCCCAGCACTGACTCCTGGCTGCAGCACCAAGAGCCTTTCATCCACACAGCTCAGAATAAAAGGGAGAAAAAGTAGAAAGAAAGAAAAAGAAAGGAAGGAAGGAAGGAAAGAAAGGAGGGAAGGATGGCGGGAAGGAAGGAAAGAAAGGAAGAAAGAATATAAAATAAAGTTATTAAAATAAAAAATAATTGAGAAAAAATAATTTTTTTAAAAAAATGAAAAAAAACAAAACCAAAAACAGACGGATAGAACCCTAGGACAAATGGTGGAAGCAAAGCTATACAGACAAAATCTCACACAGAAGCATACACATGCACACTCACAAAAAGAGGAAAAGGGGAGAAAATCATAAATCTTGCTCTCAAAGTCCACCTCCTCAATTTGGGATGATTGGTTGTCTATTCAGGTATTCCACAGATGCAGGGTACATCAAGTTGATTGTGGAGATTTAATCTGCTGCTTCAGAGGCTGCTGGGAGGGGTTTTCCTTTCTCTTCTTTGTTCTCACAGCTCCTGGGGCTCAGCTTTGGATTTGGCCCCGCCTCTGCATGTAGGTCACCAGAGGGTGTCTGTTGTTTGCTCAGACAGGATGGGGTTAAAGGAGCAGCTGCTTCGGGGACTGTGGCTCACTCAGGCTGGGAGGAGGGAGGGGTACGGAGTGCAGGCAAGCCTGTGGCAGCAGAGGCCAGCGTGACGTTGCACCAGCCTGAGGTGCGCTGTGCATTCTCCCGGGGGAGTTGTCCCTGGATCATGGGACCCTGGCAGTGGCGGGCTGCACAGGCTCCCCAGAAGGGGAGTGTGGATAGTGACCTGTGCTCGCACACAGGCTTCTTGGTGGCGGCAGCAGCAGCCTTAGCATCTCATGCCTGTCTCTGGGGTCCGCGCTGATAGCCCCGGCTCGCGCCCGTCTCTGGAGCTCCTTTAAGCAGTGCTCTTAATCCCCAGGAAACAAAGAGGGAAGAAAGCAGGTCCAGACTTTTCCCCGGACTTCCTCCCGGCTAGCCGTGGCGCACTAGCCCCCTTCAGGCTGTTTTCACGCCGCCAAGCCCAGTCCTCTCCCTGCGCTCCGACCGAAGCCTGAGCCTCAGCTCCCAGCCCCGCCTGCCCCAGTGGGTGAGCAGACAAGCCTCTCAGGCTGGTGAGTGCCGGTCGGCACCGATCCTGTGTGCGGGAATCTCTCCGCTTTGCCCTCCGCACCCGTGGCTGTGCTCTCCGCCGCAGCTCCGAAGCTTCCCCCTCTGCCACCCGCAGTCTCTGCCCGCGAAGGGGCTTCCTAGTGTGTGGAAACCTTTCCTCCTTCACAGCTCCCTCCCACTAGTACAGGTCCCGTCCCTATTCTTTGGTTTCTGTTTATTCTTTTTTCTTTTGCCCTGCCCAGGTATTTTGCCCTGCCCAGGCATGTGGGGGAGTTTCTTGCCTTTTGGGAGGTCTGAGGCCTTCTGCCAGCGTTCAGTAGGTGTTCTGTAGGAGTTGTTCCACGTGTAGATGTATTTCTGGTGTATCTGTGGGAAGGAAGGTGATCTCCGCGTCTTACTCTTCCACCTTCTTCCCCTCGTCTCGACACAAATATTTTAAATCAACAGTTTTTTCTCTTAGCTTTTAAATAGTTTCCAAATATAAGAGTGCTAATAATCAGATTTGAACTACATTTTTTTCTCAAATTTCGGTGAGAAAAGATGCCCTAGAAAACTTCTGAAGGTACACGAAGAGGACAATGAAGGATTTTTGGAAATACAGGTGAGCAAAAATCAATGCAAAACGAATCAAGATCCAGTTCATTAGTGGGTCGCTTCTAGGACTCAGAAATAACTTCTCTAATATCTAAAAATCTTTCCTCAAAAAACAGTCCTGCTGTTTCTTTACAGAAGTTCTGCCATTAAGCACAATGGAGATGGCCTCCTCTGCAAGCTACTGGGTTGGCCAAAAAGTTCGTTCTGGTTTTTCCTGACCAGATGTTACAGAAAAACCCAAACGAAATTTTTGGGCCACCCAATACGTTGATTTTCATTCTTTCTTGAGGAAAGAAAATGGCAGTGCCTAGATTAACTACACTTGGGAAGGTGGAAAGGGCTGGTCCTCAGAGAAAATCTGGGTATACATCTGACTTCACTGTTCCTTAGAGAACAATTTGGGCAAGTAACTTAGTTTCAGAATCTTAGTTTCTTCAAATATAAAATGCAAGTATGGGGTTCTTACCGAGGACTTCCTAACCCAACTGCATGATCTGGGGTGAAACCCAGACCTCTGAATTATGAAGGAGCCTCATATGACTCTTTGAGAACCACTGGAGGTGTGACCTTCTATGGTCCCTTCTAGTTTTACAATTCCTAATGTCTGAACTTTAAAATTTATCTGAGGGAAATGTTCAAATTGAAAACCTTAAGGACAGGCGAAAAGCTACAGAAGATGAACAGTGATGCATTTAGGAAATTATGACATCTAGAACCAACGACCTTTTGAAAACAGACAAAAACAGATAGGTAGGAAAGAAAAGCAGCCACAACACAAGCAAGCAGGAGCCTATATGTGCTGGGGCAAGAGTGTTAAAATGCCCATGGGACCTAATTTAACATTTACGGGATTCCAGGAACACCTCAGGGAGGTACATAAATGAGATAGCTGGTCCTAATAGCCTAAAGCTGAAGGGTATTTCCAAGCAATTTTGATACCCTAATGAACAAAGACTAATAGGGATAAAAGTACAGTATAAAGCCAATTCAAATCAGTGCTTAAAATAATCGGCCATGAATTTTTGCTTTTAAGAAATGTCTTCCCCTATCATATTCTACTTAGCTTTTTAACAAGCTTCACAAATTATATTCTTGATCCAATGTTACATCCAAGCATATTACTAAACTAAAATTCAGTTAATCCAATCCAAACCGCAATAATGATTACATAGGCTGTGCACTGTGAAAATAGCATGTCTTTTTTTTTTTAAACTGTGCTTTTCTATGACTTCATAAGGTAGATTTCTGTGTAGCTAACTATCTCTTAAGTTCGTATCTATCTACCTCTCACTATTTTGAGCTTGCATCAACCCCTGAGAGGTAAAGGTACTGCTTGGCATGACAGGAGCACACATATCATATGCATGAAGAACTAAGCAAATATTACCTATTAAGATAGGGATTTTTTTCCCCTAGTTACAAATCATCTGAAGAAGGTTGTGTTTTCTTTATCACAGGTTTTTAAACATAATTAAGGAAAATTATGAAATGGAAACTTATTTTATCAAAACTAGTAACATTTTAGAAAATTTATTCAAAAACTTTCACAATTCATTCTGCAACACAGAAATTGGCTGATTCTTGCTTACCTGAATATTTTACAACATGATTACTGTGTTAATAAAACTGCAATAAAATTTACTAAAGAAAAATCAAGGGAAGGTTGGTTTTACTTTCACATAAAAATATAAAGGCATTTGGCCAGCATTTTAAAAAGAACGTATTCATGAAGCAATAACTAAGCTATGATGAGGTTTTCAACACAGAATACACAATAGAGCACATTAAACTTACATTGCACATTTCTCTGACTATAGCTTTTTCTGTCTCACTAAGGTCATGTTCATACTCTTTACCCTGTTGACGATCTATAGTTTCCTGAACATCCAAGACCTGGATTTGTTGAAAAAGAAAAGCAAATTTCACATGGAAAAAAAACTTGTTAGTTATGAATAAAAATCAAGGCGCTCCACTTTGTAAAAACCTTTAGTTTTCTCCATGTCTGCATATCAGAGTGGATTAGCATATGGCAAAATCTTTTAAAAGAGGTGATTGTTCTGAAAGCTATCTGAATCCTACTTGATTTTCAAATGGCCATTAAGAGCAATCTATTGCATCACTAATAGTCAACTGAATTCATTAACAATTAGATGCATTTAGTTACTTTGGTCATTAAGATAAACTTGATTGTCAACCATCTGGAGACAGTCAATAATTCTTGCTCCATTGTAAAGACTGGCATGTAATTAATTAATTATATTGCTCAACAGTCCAGATGATATGTAGACACGGCCTAAAGAAAAAAATGCCTAAAAAAGGTAATAGTCACAGCTGAAACTGGTCAGAACCCAGAAATATGTAGCATAAGAACTTTTTGTTAACATTAACACTAGTGACCTCACAGTTCTTTCCTAGACATGTTTCTGGTGCCTAGGAAAGGACTAGGCCACAGCTCTTTGACAGAAGCAAAGAGAGACAATGGCTCCCCAGTTGTGAAAATATTTGAGCAACACTAAATATTTTTCATTTTTTCATCTGGGAATGAGACGCTTTTAAACGATTTTAGGTTCTACTTCTCTAAATTATCACTAAATGGATTGAGAATAAAATTCTGTTCAAAATGTCTGTAAAATTTTCATGTCAATACTTTCTGTAGTAAAAAAGAGGGCAAAACTTTCGCTTTGAGTGCTGTTTAGTTTTCTCTACATCAGCTTATAAATCAAATCATTGATGTAGCAAAAAAAACCTTTTTCTAAAAGCTCCTGTAGAATCCACACTGAACTGTAACACTGCTAAGCTCCCTGGTTCTGCTGTTATCATGGTCAGTGCTGATAGCCACACCTAAAGACGTCACCTGAGAATTTGCACCAATGAACAAACAAACAGGTGGACCAAAATAAATAACTCAGGCCCGAAGTGGGACCTTCATGTCGAGTTCATGGATACTGAGACTACAACAATATTTACCCGAGTTCAAATCTGTAATAAATAATCTCACAAACTACTCTCTCATTAACTCAAAACTTCTGGCCATTATTACTCTGTAGGTACTACTTCTTTAAAGAAGGATATGACAGTGGTAAATGAAAGCCTCATCCTGGTACTCAACTCATATTAGAGTCAGTTCACATTTTTTTTATACTTAGAGGAAATCACTGACGATGCTCAGTGAATATTCACAGAAAACTTAACTCCTGGAACAAGCTCATTTGCCTACAAATTCGATTTATAATGTACCTCAGAGAAGTGTACTTAAGTTCAGTTAATTTCTACTAAAGGAAGTGAAGCTCTAGTTAATAGTTAGGAATTTTAAAGCAAGAAAAACGTGGTGTTATCACAAGTGGGCTAACTCCTCACACTGGCTTACAACAACGCTTTCCCCACAGCTATGACCATGGAGTTTATTAAAGCCTAGACATTTAAAAAAAACTTATCAGAAGATGAGAAAAGGAGCCATTGTCCTGACTATTCCTTTCAGAACAGAACAATCTTATGATATAAATCAGCTCTACAGTGGTAGCTTTTAAAAACAAAACATTGAGTGGCTACATTTCCTTTTTTTACACCGAGATGTTCTGAGGATGCATTTCCCAGAGGCTATGTTTGCACATATTTCTGTTTCAACTCGTGGAAGCGAACCTATTCTATATTCAAGAGCTTCCAGTTACCCAATCAAGATGCTTCAGTTGCTTGGCATTACCCATTGGCCAAGTGAGGACACTTAACGTGTTCTGATTAAAACATAGTATCTTCCTCTCGAGATAAAATTTTAGATGAAAATTAGAGAATGAATTCAGAGAAAACTGAATAGCTCTTCCTTGCCCTCCCCTTCCTTTTAGGCCATACTAACACAGCTGCCTTGAGAAATTTGGGAATGGTGGCAATGTGACCCACTGCACTGATCTGATTCCAATTGCACAAGGCAATAGGCTGAAACAGGTTTCAAACAGTTTGGAAAGCAGGGCAGCGTGTTGCCTTTGGAGTATGTGCGGATACTAATACTACAGGATTGAAGCTACTCCTTCATTTTCCCGTTTCGGAAATGCTTTTCAGATCGCTAGTGCCTGATTTACGCTAAAGTAACAGCTTCTTTAGCATGCTGTTCGTACTAAACAGTATCCACATGCTGTCGCAGAGAGCAAGCCAGTTGATAAACCAGCAGCCCAGACACAGGGCGGTGCCCAATCAGTATGTGCTTGAGAGAAGCAAACTCATTTCATCTAAGTTACAGCAAAATATAGCAAGGCAGCTAAAGCGACTGCTAAAACAGTCATCCTCAAGTAAATATTCTGCAGTTCTCATCTACTTCTTTGCTTTCTGCATGCCAAGGAAAGCGTGGGCCCCTTCACAAGAGTGCATCATCGGGCTGTTGATAAGTCATTCTGAAACCAAAACAATTTTAGAAAAGTCGTTGAAACCCATGTGGCAAAAGCAGGACTGAAGCACTCTGCTTACTTTATGGCTCAGAAAGGTTTGACCAAGGCTACATGTTAGGAATTGTAGATAATTTGGAGGACAGTGTTTTATACTTTGGAACTGATGAAACTTCAAGGAACTGTCTCAGTTTTTAAGATTTTTATTGCCTGCCGTTTCTTCTCAGAGAGGTAAATATTTACACTGCTTATTATTAATTTTACTTATTGGAAAGCTCATTACTGGTAGAGAAAAATAAATGATAAATTTCAGCCAGATCTTTTTTTAAGTCATTGCTGAAGCTGAAGTATAAGCAAAAAATAAAGTATCTTCATGAATAAGACCATGTATCTATTTTCTAATACTCTATAAAGAAGCATTAAAGCATTAACTAGAGTTTGAAGACTTAATTTCTATTTAATGGTGAACAGAGTAGGTTTTTGTTTATTTGAAAACTTTCAGTAAGTTGCACAACGTACTTCAGTTGCAAAGAGAAAGAAAAATATGGTATCTTTCCTTATTTTGGCCAACTATTAACTTCCTGTATTTGAAGACATCCATGCTACAAACATTGCACAGAAAATACCTGTAACAGTATTTTACACATATGAATATACATGCACATCAGACTTCAACTTCGATGCAGATAGATATGAATCACATTACTCAAAACAAAATGATAAAACTAGAGATTCAATTCAACCATAAGTATTCAAACCCACTATTAGTTTAAAAAAATTAAAATCATACTTTAAAACTTAAGATAAAAAAAAAGTTACACCATAAGGGCTCAAAAAATAAAGTATCTATGGTTAAAACGAGACCGTGAGGATTACCAGACTATAGCGAACAAGCCACAACACAACTGAAGTACTGGATAAACGGCTGTACACAGTTGGTTACCTTAAGAGAGTGTACCACGGGTTCAGGCTGCTGAGAAGGTGTGGTATGTCCACTGAAGCTAGCTGGAGAGTTGGGTGAACTGTTACTCCCATCAGCCCCTGATGACAACCTAAAAGAACCCTTAGTAGAAAATCAACAACTTTGTTATTAAAACAAAGGTCGTTTATAACTGCAGAGATGTCATTCAATATTCAATTTCACTGCCAAACAAGAACTAGCCATTTTGTTAATTTTCTCTAGCCTGTCCAAAGATGCTATCAACCTGTTAACTGGAAGACACTCTCTGCTTGACCAGCAGAAAAGAAAAAAAAAAATGTAACCAAGAGCCATCTCTATGCATTTCCAGATGTCACTTCTGATTTACCAAAGAGAGCAGTGCCCCCTAAGGCATGCCCATTAAGAACATTTCAAGAATGACTTTTTGAAACTTAAAGATACTCAAGAGTAGGGAATTTGTGAGTTACTCCACAGCTGAGTTAAACATGCTCACTCAGCAAGACAAATGCCATATTCCATATGTCTCAGAAAATGCAGACACATCACCATTTCTCAAAGGCATATTGCTGCATTTGAGAAATGGTGTCCCTTATAAACCCTTCTTTGAGGGAAAGACCTATGGTGGAACATTTCCCAAAGAGATTTAACCATATTCAACATCTTCTTCAAGAATTCTCTTATTTTATGAACTTTTAAAAACTGAAAAACAAAACAGATCACAAATTACATATTTGTAGTGTAGTGACTCTTCAACTGAACTGCTGAGAAGTCAGAACTCGCGCATTATTAATTTGACCTGTGAGAGTCACAGTCACCCATACAGGAACTGGGAAAAAGTAAAAAACATCACTTTTTCTAGGGGTTCCTTGGGAAAAAGACTAATGGATCAGGAAAGAAAAAGAACAGCAGTGATCTATCCTCCTAGCAAAAACAGTCTAATGGGAATTGCCCAAACCTGTTTTTAGGGCCTGAGAGATTTTAATTTCTGTCCATCAACAAATCTACAGATTTTTTCCTAATAGATTAATAACTGTTCCCTTTAACTTGATCCTATGGATCTAACCCCCCGAGAAGGAGCCAGGGAAGGTGCATCATGTGTGAAATCATGAAAGGAAGAAAAAACAGTGATCTGGGATGTTAATTTTCCAGCATCTACAGGAGAGCTTCTATGTTGTGCATTTTGGGGACGGGAGGGAGAAGCTGAGCACAGGTTACAGGTATGGGTTTTACACAAACACCACTATTTGTAGAGAAATTAACTCTTCCTGTTGAGTTTTACAAAGGTGATTATTTATATGCAACTTGGAAAATCTCTCTTCCCTTGTCACTGTCCTTTCTTCCTGTGTCCTTGAAGGCTATCCTTGCCACCTCACAAGCCAACTGAGGCCATGTTCTTTTCCTAATGCAATCAGGTCAGGTCCTGTCCCCGCCCTCACTAGCCAACAGGGAGAGGAAGCCATGGAATCTGACATTTAGGTGACCTCTCCAGCTTCTGTCTGCCGTTGCAACTAATGATGAAATTAACAGGAGGTGATGAACAGAACATACAATTATTATAGCCCCAACCCCCTCTGGGAAAAAAATGTTTATAATATGTTTTGCTGTATTTGTAATTTGGATCAAATCAGACATAATAGTACCCGAAACAAATAATAGAAAGGAAACTGTTTGAAGTTTAAAGATGGTTAATAATAGGCACACACTCCCCCCACCAAATTTGGGCATCCTCTTCCTTTGTAGAGATCAAATATTTCCAAAGCGAAGGAGTTATAAAGGAAGCTCTTCTTCCCTGAAAAGCCCTGATCCTCTACTAGTCTCTTTCCTGGCTGGTATCACCCTTATGAACTCTTTGGAAAAGGCTTCTGAGGTTATACAGAGTTCACATGAACCCTCTCATTTAGACTCCACCACTGCAGTGCTGTTTCCTCTGACTGGTAATCTAACTTGGCAACAATCCTTCCCCCTCTGGGATACACTCCCTTCCAGTTCTCCCTTTCAAATCCTTTTCTGCCCAGCCCTTCTGTTTCAAAGGTTCCCTTCCCAGACCTGGCAAAATGGTAGGCATGCCAAATTCTAGCTTGCTGTTCCTTGGGCACGGGACCTCTATCTTTCACGGTATTTTGGTTTAAGAGAATTTCTGAAATCAATGATAAGTAGCTTCCCTAAACCAAATCCTCTGGGCAATTAAGCATTGTTTAAACTTAAGGAGAGTCCTGTCTGTTCAGAAAAACATACTTTTTTATTAAAGAAGTTTCATCATCATCATGAAGGCTACAATGGAAACTACCCAGTGGAGAAAAACTTATCATTCAGGGATTAAAGTTCTACTTAAAACCTGTTTTGCGAGCCATGGACTGGTAATCACTAGAAAGGTCAAGGTTTATATTGTATGCAGTTTTTGTGAAGCCGCAAAGGTTACTGAATGCTGGTTAAGTTGTACACTAACAGGTGCTAAAGACTTTTCTAGATTATAACAGAAACAAGCACCTCATTCTATCACATCTTATTTAGTTACTATGAAATAAAAGCTTAGATTTCTATGTGCTTATTAGTAGAATCAGACCAATACCTGGAGTTTTCTCTGGGCTCCATCAATACATATTCTCCATCGAATAATACATTTTTCACTGAAGTATTTTTTAAAATATGCTACTGGGTGAAATACTAGCCCAACAAATAATTTTAAACAGTCCCTTGGAGTTTATTTCAATAAGATTTAGCCTGTTTATTTAAATTGTATCTTGGCTGGCTCAGGAGACAGGGAATTTAAAAAGAAAAAAATCTTACTAAAATGGGAAATGTGACTCCCAGCTTTGGGGTTGCTTATCTTCAGGCTACACATGATCACACAGTGCACGCACCACCTCTTGGGTCAGCAGTCAATTTGAAAGGGCAAGGAATAATTTTCTGGGCTGGTCGTGAGACATCTGATGGTGTCTAACAATTCATTTCCATGGCCACTGACCTTTAAACTCCTTTGCACAAAAGGTGCAGGTACTTTCCTCCTCCTCCAGTGTTTGGGGTTATTCAACTTTCACCCCCAGGTTCAGGGAAAAAAAAAAAAAACACTGAAGGCGACCATTTAGGAGGTGAAATAGACTCTACTCCCGCCTTCCCTCCCTGATTTGGACACACAGTGACTTTCTTTCATGTGTACAGACTTATTCTTTCCCCCCCAGTATGACTTTTCCTCTAGCAGCAGAAGCCATCTGGTTATGCACAGGCACATCAGCAGCTGACTCGTCTTCACTCACCGGGAGAGTGGGCAGGCATCGTCCTATTCCTCGGCACCCTTGCCACCACTGCAAGACCCGCCGGGCTCTGGGCCCCCAGCCTTTCTCCATATTTGAGCTGTTTCTAGTTGGAGGTTGCCTTCTAGTCTGGGTAGCCTTATATTTGGAACAATATAGTACAATCACTCAGAAAAATACTGTTTCCCAAGTCTCAAGAAAGCATATAGAATAAGAAGCTTAATGAAATGAACCACGATGACCACAATGGCAAGCTGTAACATGCATCTCTAACTAGGGAAAAAATTAAAATAAAAACTCACTGAAGTCCTGTGTATGAGAGCTAATGCTGATTTTTTTAAAAGTTTTGGGCAAAGGTATAACTAATTCTCAAGCTATCAAAAAGGGACAGATGATAATGCCAAAATTCCAGAAAAAAAAGAAAAAGGAAGCTATTTATACAACTTAATTTTGTGGGTTTTATTTGTGAGAAACAGAATTAACATAAATCTTACAAGTATTTAAAACTGCAACTTAGAAATTATTTAAATGCAATTGGGAGCACTCTGACCTTATGTTAAGAAACACAAGTTGGGTAGATATATTCAACACTCAGAAAAACTGACATTGCATCAAATTCTCAGCAAAATTTCTGCACACTGGAGAGTATATAATGAACCAAGAGATCGCCATTGCATTAAAGTAACTATTTTAAATGGGACATATACACAATTATCAACATTTCTAATTAATTGGTTAATTCCCAAATTTCTGTACTGGTTGGAACTAAGACATCACAACTGACATAAAAAGAAAATACAAAATTTTTTTTCCCCTGAATTTCAGGTTTTTGCCATGACCAAACTGTGTAATTTTATTAAAATGATCAGAAGCAAAATGAACTAATTTGAACATAATTTCCTTTCCCTGCCAACTTTCACTAAGACCTGTATCTAAGAATGCTATATCCTAAGGAATAAGAAACAATTTTTAAAATATAGAAAATTCGCAAATATAGTTCAAAAATTCCAGTGTCCAAATGTTTAAGTTAATTTTAGGAGATTGAAAATGAGAATATAATTTTTTAGTTCTCATTAATCTATTATCCTAGAAGTATGTGCTTTACTGTGAATAGTACTGGTCTAATTTTGACTTTTCTCTAACTTTTCGAGGCTGAACCATAAAGGAAATGTACCATGGTCTTAAGCGAAGTAAAAAAGGGGAGCAATCTTGACCAGCAGTTGGTAGTCACAAAACTTTTTCCTGAATCTACAAAATCAATACCAGTTACCTATTAAATAAGTAAGTCACACACAATCCTCACATATAACAGAGAAAATTATAGATTTACGCTTGGATCATAATGATCATTTCATCAAAGCAACACTGATTTAAACTTTGCTCTTTTAGTAATCATTTCATATGTCAGTGTCTAATTTATTTCCATCATCAAAAGAGTTATATCCAGGGCTTCCCTGGTGGCGCAGTGGTTGAGAGTCCACCTGCGGATGCAGGGGACATGGGTTCGTGCCCCGGTCTGGGAAGATCCCACATGCCGCGGAACGGCTAGGCCCGTGAGCCATGGCCGCTGAGCCTGCGCGTCCGGAGCCTGTGCTCCACAACGGGAGAGGTCACAACAGTGAGAGGCCCGTGTACCGCAAAAAAAAAAAAAAAAAATAGAGTTATATCCAATAATTTATAATATGGTTGATGGCTTAAAATTCACCTCCCATCCCAATCTGCATAGTTCTATTTCTGAGATGATCATTAACAACTAATGCAGACTTTTTACAAGTGAGTTCTATCTTCTAAATTTGGTTTTCTCCAAGTCTTACACATCTCTCAGATCTCATGTTTTTTTGGATTCAACCAAGTAAAACATAAGAACATCTTTCATTCTTCCTTAGTGTGTAGCAAGATTAAATCCCAACGCCTCTCCACTGTAACAAAGCTTATTATCATAACCATGAATCTAAGGTAACATCTATAACCACTTAGAGGCCTGCTGAAAAGAGCAGTCATTTATTTTCCCACTTTCAGAAAGTTGATACAACATGCAATAGCTACGCCTTTCAGTATCTTGTAACAGGTTCTTTTTAAACATATTAAATATAGATTGTATAGTATTATTAATCCCATAAGAGGGGGTGATATATGGGCCAGTTTTTTATGGAAGAATAAACTACTTGATGATATCATTTTAAAGGAATAGGTCCTCTTTTAGAATCAGGATTATTGGCTTTCTACTCATGTCAGCAATTATCTTGTTTTAATTCAGGTCATGGAAAAATGTGTCTAGACCAGCCATCATTTTTGACCTTCGAGTAAAATATATCTGAATAATACTTATATACCAATGAAGGCTTAGCTCTCTGCTAGCTCTACAATTGTCAATCATGACATTTTTTGAAGACAGTTTCATAAAACATCAGCCTTCAATAACTCAGTGGTTGGAGTTATTTCTGGCAACTTCAGAGCGTAAAGTGGGGAAACCCAGATTCCAGCCATCAATTGGGAGAACAGTTCCCAACAACCTTAAGAAAGTCACTTCCTATTCTCTGAGGAATTCTATTTTGCTTTGTTTTCTGGAGTTTTCCAAAGATCCAGACTCATTAAAAAAAAAAAAAAAAGCATGTGTGAATGACCCTACTACTCCCATAGAAATCTGTGTACTCATCAACTACTTTATATACAGTTACTTAGAGTAATCTGCAGATTATCTAGTACTCTGCAAATTATTTTACTTTGCTATATAGCAAAGTAATGCTCTGCATCAAGACTGTGTGGGAGGTGACTTACAGATCACTTACTGTGTGCTAAGTACTCATTATAGAAATCACAAATTCTAATACTCTAAGCAAACACCATAGATAAGGAAATAAAAGCACACCTCAACATAACATAGGCCATATATGATAAGCCCACAGCTAACATCATACCCAGGGGTTGAAAGCTAAAAGCACTTCCCCTAAGCCGACAAGGATGTCCTCTCTTGCCAGTTTTATTCAACATGGTGTTGGAAGTCCTAGTCATAGCAATCAGACAAGAAATAAAGGAATACAAGTTGGAAAGGAAGAAGTAAAAGTGTCAGTGTTTGCAGATGACATGATACATACAGAGAAAATCTTAAACACGCCACCAAAAAACTACTAAAGCTCATCAGTAAATTCAGGAGAGTTGCAGGATACAAGATTAATATATAGAAATCTGTTGCTTTTCTATACACTGATAATGAACTATCAGAAAGAGAAAGCAAGAAAACAATCCCATTTAAAATTGCATCAAAAAGAATAAAATACCCAGGAATAAACTTAACCAAGGAGGTGAAAGACCTATACTCTGTAAAGTATAAAACTCTGATGAAGGAAATTGAAGGTGATACAAATAAATGGAGAGATATCCTGTGTTCATGGACTGGAAAAAATAATACTGTTAAAATGTCCACGCTACCCAAAGCAATCTACAGTCAATGCAGTCCCTATCAAAATACCTGTGACATTTTTCACAGAACTAGAGCAAATAACCCTAAAATTTATATGGAATCACAAATGACCCCGAATAGCCAAAGCAATCTTGACAAAAAAGAACAAAGCTGGAGGTATCATGCTCCTTGAATTCAGACTATACTACAAAGCCACGATAATCAAAACAGTATGGTACTGGCACAAAAACAGACACATAGATCAATGGAACAGAACAGAGAGCCCAGAAGTAAATCCACGCACTTACGGTCAATCAAGCTATGACAAAGGAGTTAACAATACACAATGGGAAAAAGACAGTCTCTTCAATAAGTGGTGCTGGGAAAACTGAACAGCTACATGTGAAATAATCAAATTAGAACATTCCTTCACACCATATACAAAAATAAACTCAAAATGGATTGAAAGCCTAAATGTAAGACCAAAAACCATGAAACTAGATGAAAACATAGGCAGAACACTCTTTGACATGAATTGTAGCAATATTTTTTTGGATCTGTCTCCTAAGGCAAAGGAAACAAAAGCAAACAAACAAACGTGACCTAATAAACTTAAAAGCTTTTACACAACAAAGGAAACCATTGACGAAAATGAAAAGACAACGTACTTAATGGGAAAAAATACTTGCAAATGATATGACCAATAAGGGGTTAATATTCAAAATATATAAAACAGCTCATAAAACTCAATATAAAAAAAAAACCTGATTAAAAAATAGAACACCTGAATAGATATTTTTCCAAAGAAGACATACTGATGGCTAACAAGCACATGAAAAGATGCTCAACACCACTAATCATCAGAGAAATGCAAATCAAAACCACAAAGAGGTCAACCCCCTCACACCTGTTAGAATGGCTATCATCAAAAAGACCACAAATAACAAACGTTGGCAAGAATGCGGAGAAAAGGGAACCACTGTGCACTGTTGGTGGGAATGTAAATTGATGCAGCCACTATGGACAATGGTATGGAGGTTCTTCAAAAAACTAAAAACCGAACTACCATATGATCCAGGAATTCTACTACTGAGTATATATCTGAAGAAAACAAAAACAAATTCAGACGGATACGCACACCCCAGTGTTCACAGCAGCATTATTTACAATAGCCAAGATACAGAAGCAACCTAAGTGTCAATTGATAGATGAATGGATAAAAAAGATGTGGTGTCTATACACACACACACACACACACACACACACAATGTAATACCACTCAGCCATAAAAAAGAATTAAATTTTTACATTTGCAACAACCTGGATGGGCTGGAGGGTATTATGCTTAGTGAAATAAGTCAGAAAGAGAAAGAAAAATACTGTATGTTACCATTTATATGAGAAATCTAAAAAATAAAGGAATGAATATAACAAAACAAACAGATTCATGCATCTAGAGAACCAACTAGCGGTTACCAGTGAGAAGAGGGAAGTGGGAAGGGGCAAGACAGGGGTAGGGAGTTAAGAGGTACAAAGTACTAGGTATAAAATAAATAAGCTAAAAGAATATATTGTACAGCACAGGGAATATAGTCAATAATTTATAATAACTTTAAGTGGAGTATAATATATAAAAGTTTTGAATCACTATGTGCTACACCTGAAACTAATATTGTAAATCAACTAAACTTCAATTTAAAAAAACCAAAAAATTTAAAAAAAATTTTAGTATTAGAAT